CAGCACGCGTGCGCTCGGAAGGCGCGGCCGCGCCCGGCACGCTCGCTCTGTTATTTGCCGTCTGTACTTCGCTTTAACCGTCTTGATACTTTGAATATTTTTTTCCGATAGATTTTTAAATACTGTCCAATAATCCTAATGCAGAACAAGTGTCATTTGCAATTAGCTGTCATTTTTTAGTATTGTAGATTAAGATATGTCATGCTTGAACACGCGGATACAATGCATAGATTATTAATTTGAAATAAAAATGAATAAGACATAAACATCCTGTTCGTTAATATTTTATTACAAGGAAACTTACTTTATTACAAATCAATTTTGAAGTTGCATACGACGGATATACTTAGACATGTGATGAAATAATCTATATTAGGTCAGCCATAATCTATAATAATCTTGTTAGCGAAATGATAATAAATACTACCAAAGACATTTCACAGAATCGAATAGAAAAAAAAACAAAAAAGGTTCACAAGGTAACTAAAGCAGATCTTGTACGAAGCTAGACCCATGCTCTAAACTCCTGTTCCTCTATTCTTGTCTGTGGTTTGCGATGACAGGCGACACGACACATGACATTGTCGGTCTGGTTAAATCATACAAACATAAACATCTCTTTCTATAGTCAATTTCAAACATGTATTTTTTCCATAAATCTATTTTCTAATAAGACAATAGACATTTTTGTAATAGTATTTTTTTTTAACACAGGCAGATTAAGTCTGGTAAAAGGCGTATGGGCCATTTTTACTTCACCTCAGGCTAACGTGCAGGCGACGACTATGAATTGCTTACACTTTGATACTTTTATCTTACTTCTTACTTATATTATAAATGCGAATTTAGATGTACGAATGAATAGATGGATGTTTGTTAGAAGTTATGTCAAGAACCATTCCATGAATTTACCATAGATGTTGAACGTAGTCTGGAAGAACTAGGCTACTTATTAAATTATTTTATAACTCCGCACAGAAGGATTCGCGGACGACAACTAGTAGTACATATGCTTAAAGCTTTGTTCGTTCAATCTTTATAACAGTAACGTGAACGCTTCGATACACTTAACCCGTTATCGACAGCTGCAATCTTCCCGGTGTTATCTGACGAAATGGCGGGGTCACCTATCGGGACGCTAATTGAGATAGTTCAGTTTAAAACACTGGCCAGTCAGCAGAGGTCTGTAAATTGGTCGTTTATGGTGAAAGTCTAGACCATCATAGCTCTATATGGAAATGCCAGAGTTCAGTTCGGCTCCCGATATTAACTTCGTGTTATGGTGTGGCCGCGGTGGGGCGCTGCGAGCTGCTGGCCGGTGTAGTAGCACTCCTATTACGGTAAACATATTTGGTGCGGTTTGGTAATATTTCACTCACACTCGAATTGTATTATAACTTTGAAATAAGCGTGGCCATCTGTCTCGATGACCATTTTGGGACAATATACCTAAAATATGAAGACTTGAAAACGTTGTCATACATAGTACTTATAAATTTATAGGTATGTGCAGTAATTTCAATGAATTCTAATATTTACCCAATAATTACTATGAAAAATTAATATTTCCTTTAAATTATGAACTGCATAATGCAATATATAATATTAATAGCATATTAATAAGTCGTTTATTGTCCAAAGATAAGTCAGTATTTGTAAATTTATAAACATTAATTGCACAATAAATTGACAAAATTAATAATTTCCGACAAAAAACAACTATTTACTATATAAATCAAGAAAAAGAACGGATATCGAACAAAAATTCCGAATGCACGAACTGACCGTGAGATGGAATTATTGCAAATAATTACCAAGGCAACACGATAATCTACTAAAATACTGAATTAAAATTTAAGCAATTAAGATGGGATTATCACGTATTTATGTTCACGTACCGTATATAATTGACATTCAATTCAAAAGATATTGATATTCTGCAATACAGTCCGTATAAAATGATGCAGTGTTCAGACAACCTGATTTACACCGCACTATTTGCGATGTCTCGCCTACTCTATATACCACGATTACCTTTTTGGAAATGTTAATCTTTGCATTTGAACAGTCATTACTCTTGTCACGTCATAAAATATGATAGCGCTACCGAAATCGTTCAACGATCAATACTAAGATAATATTTTCAACTATGAAATCAGGAAAAACATTGCAACTAACATTTCATTGATTTATTGCATTTTTATTACACAAGAGCAACATCCTATGCATTAAATTTAAGTAACATTTTTAATTACAAAGACCTTTACAACCCCGAATGCCAAGGCTATGCGCCATTATTAGCAATGAGCAATTCAGTAAGCAGCTAAACTTTCATTCATCTTTGTACGAGTTACTACAACGACCAGCATAGTTAGCGCTCTATAAAATTTCAAAGGCTCTGTCTAACTGACATCTGCTATTCAAATATGATAGGTTCAAAGGGTCAAAATAAATTGGCGTGTCGGCAACACTATTATTACGGCAAAGTCGTTAACTATAAACGAGAATAAAATAACGAGACCACAAGCTGGGAGGTCAATTAAAATGGGATTTTTTGTCGCTATGTACGTGATGATTGATTCTATCATACGGTTTTAAAGATACCTTTGTACAAATTTGATTTTAATTGATATAATTATTATTTGCTTTTATATACAAATAGTAATTTTAGAGTTATTAAATGGAAGGCTTACTTAATCCAAATTACAACAACTGAAAACGAAACACCAATCGAAATAGTTATTAAAACTTTTTTTATTAAAGATTTTTTTCATCTTTAAGTTGTTTGACAACGATAGAAATAAAATTTTCTAATATTGAAAATTATTATTATTTTATTAAAACTTTTATTTACGTCCAATTTCAATAAATCAACAATAACGATATTAATTGTAAAAAACATAATATAAGTAGTCTATGAAAATGTGTTAAAATTTTTCAACATTGCAACGCCATTTGTTGCAATCAGCTTTCCGGTCAATCGGCCCAACGGGAAAGACGTAGCCATTTTGATTACTATGACAGTATAATTTTCTTAGACCTAAACCTTTTTATAGCAAATTTTAAAAGAATGTATATTATATCGATAGTCTTTGGACAAAGAACAATGTTCCGAGTGCCTGTAGTTTAAATCCTTTAGCTAATAGTTTAATTGCAAAGTACGCTATTCTGTCTAGGAACAGATAAGATAAGTATCTGCGCTCAGGAGGTCATTTGTGTGTTTCACGCTTAACTAAAGTATTCATCTGGCTTGCGTAAACTGACCTATATTTACAACAACATATTTAAAAAAACTTATATATAAGAGAGATTTCTCACTGGTTGCTACGTAAAAGTGTTATTGACTTTTGTGTTCATATTTAATAAACTCTGGTTTTATAATATTATAAACTTTCCATGAAAAGTTAATCTAAATTAAGGACGTATCCAAAAAATTAATTGACATCACAGAGGACCGAAGAGCTGGCAGTTACCTCGGTCAAAGAATTAGTTTAGCTATCCAAAGGGGGAACGCAGCCAGTTCGGGACCTTGCCTAAAGGGACTCTAAAATATTTTAGTAAATTATAAGTTTTTAATATTTTATTTCATATCATAGATTTAAGACTTTTCATATAAGGTTTATAATATTACTAGCGGACCCGACAGACGTTGTCCTGTCTACACGTCTTTAATTTGAAAATTCGAATATTATTTAAAATTTGACACTGCGATGGTAGCGCCGTCTGTCGGATCCAATGTAAAACATTCTAAAATCAACAACTACTAATAAATTAAAAATTAATTAAAAAACATTGTCCAGCGGACAAAATTGTGAATCTAAATCATTCCCAGATCCCCTTGAACACACACAAAAAATTTCATCAAAATCGATCCAATCGTTTGAGAGAAGTTCAGTGACATACACACTCACAGAAAAATTATATATATAAAGATAAATAAAAATTTTATGTTGATAATTTTTAGTCGCGTAAGCTTACGTTTAATCTACTATAATTACTAATTTAAACTACGTTTATGCCGTAGATGCTTTTAATGCAAAGTTACAAAAGCATTCAAAAGCTTGTTGATAAACGTGTTTTATATTGATTTATTGATTTCAAATACAATCAATGATATAAAATAATAATTAATTTTATTAAAACATTGTAATATTGATATACGAGACGATTGTGACTCTGAATACATTAACCTTCTCCGATTAACCAATAGAAAAATAATATAATAAATATTTTATCAACCCTGTTAATCTTTTAATAAGTACAATAATTACTGAATACAATAGAAAATTGAAGGTTGATTTTTGAACAGATGTTGAAGCAAAATGATCAGCATCTAAGCGTCAAAACAGCTTTCGAGTTAATTTTTAAAGTTGACTCGAAGAGCCAGAGGTCAAGTGCTTTAAATAATAGTTCTTGTACAAGTAATTGATTGGTTTAATTTGTTCTTTGTTTGATTTAGTGAGCTCTCTGACATTGTTTCGACAGACGATGTGTCATTGTGCGGCCTTCACTTGTTTAATATGTGTTAAATGTTACTCTCTTAAATTAAATGACCATACATATTTGTTTATGGTTTTTATCGTAGCTTAATGTGATTGACCAATGCGGTTATATCTGTATATCACTATCTTTGTTTTTTTTAATAGAATGAAACAAGTGGCAATATGTCGTGTACAGTGGTAACCCCCGCTTGTAACCCTCCGTGTATAATAGTTTTCAGATATTTTGACTGCACTAAATTTCGCGCGAGGCACAACAGAGCACAGTTTTGGATTGTTGGGATTCTTTGGAAAGTTGGGCTGTCTGGAGTCCGGATCCTGCTCACACGCAAAATACGCGCAAGTCGTGGAATTGCGAAAATGGAGCCCTTTCAACTAACTAAGATAGCCCACCTTTTTCACTTTGAGCCGCCAAGATATTTGAAAAGAACTATACTGCTTTGTAACCATAGTAAATAACTTTAAATAAAAATATGAGAAAGAATTAGAACCGACTTTTCATTATTTTGGGAATTTTATTTTAAACCAATATAAATTTTCTTTACTGTTTCCACTAAAAGTATTGCGTTCCACCACTTCTCCTAAAAATAACAGTTTCGTAAATATAAATATATATTAAGAGACAAAAGACAAAAGTTTGAACAAAAATATAATTACATACCCTCATTTAAAATTTGCAAAATCTTATGAAAGTTACCACTTTTTGATGAAGTTACCGATCGTAAGTCACTTGTATTCTCTGTGGCGCTGTCGTCGCATTCTAAATAAAAATATATTTATCTATTTATCACAAACTGTTGGATATTTATAATTCAGTGTCAATTTTAATTGATTATAAATAATTGTTCGCACTTACTGAGACCATATTTCATTCCTGTTATCGATAGGCAATTCACACTATTAATACAATTATCATAAAGAAACTAGCGCAAATTAAATAATACGTTTTGAATTATAATATAATTTGAAAATTAGGTTTAAAATACTGTAATTTAAGTTTAAAAAAAAGTATTTACCTAACGCTAAACAAAGGTCTTTCTTAAGCGACGGATGCCTGTCCTCACCATTTCTTTTAACTGGTAAAAATTTAATATAATTAATGAAATCCAAATTGAATAAAGACATAATTTGTGCTTTACCACACTTCTCTACTTTGAGAAAGCTTTTGTTTTATTTTTACCAACTTACCCTCTCTGTCATATTCTTCTAATATTTTTTTCAATTCACCCAAAGATATTAGCTTTTGATCTGGATCTGTAACTTTGTTTTGAATACAATTTAGTTTTTGCTCTTTGTATCCTAGATGGCGCTGGTCTGATAAATTTATTAATGCTGGCTTTACTCACCACCGACGTTATTATTATTAATGTAACTATTCCCGACTTTATAGATAAAATCTGTAAGAAATATCGGCATTGATGATGATAAATTCTTAATTTTTTTTTTTTTTTTTTACCTCAAGCCTGTAGTTAGTTTATTAGTTAAAGTCCTTTTTAAAAATACCTTTTATTGTTGTCATACTGGCAACTGAGTTCGTTGTTAGCCAAGATGGAGTTAATGCCATGACGTTAGGCGTGCTTACATCTGTTCAAATGTAAAACTGATATAATTTTGACAAATAAGATATCAAAGTAGTATCATGCTATCGTTCATACATCCACTTAAAAATAAAAAAAAGGTAAAAGATTACCCGAAACTGGATTTAACTGCGCTGTAAATAAAACAGTTAACTAAAAATATATACAGAGAAATGCATAGTAACGTAATGAAAACGTTAGAGATGCTAGATGTCTTCAAATTATAATATTAAATCTCTGCCTATCCCCTGTGGGTCGTAGGCTTGAATATTAATATATAAACTAAAAAAAACTTACGAATTAAAGCAGCTGGTACCCGAACATATTTTGCTTTAGGTGAAGCTACAATATGACCTTTGTTCCCATCTATTTCAAATTGCAGTTCGATCTCGCGATTCGGAAACTGTTCTAAAACATTTTTTTTATTTGTTATAAGTAAATAATATAACTGTATTTTAATACATTTTTCAGTTACCTGATAATTTTTTAATTGGTTTCATGTACTTTTGAAGTAAACTTTCTAGTTTCTGTCTATTGAAAACTTTATCACCTGTGTAATGAACACGAAATAATTATCAATTGTCTGCTTCATTTAGTTGGGTATATGTTTTTTTTTTATAAGAGAAAGGGGCAAACGAGTGGCGGGAGTTAGTTGATCAAAGACACCCATGGACATCTGCAAC